ATGTAGTTTGAAGCTAATATTAGAGAAAGATTGATAATTATTTTTTAGAACTCTCTTTACTTTCTGTCATTCAGACTTTTCCTTGATATGTTTGTAATCAAGTTGTCATATTCATCCTTCTTTAGACAAATTTCTAGTTCACCTCTGTTATTGAATCACCTCTCAGTAGATAGTTTGAGAACCAACATTTGATTGCAGCCAAGAGCTCAATACTGCTTCATAAAAATTCATTTGAAATTAAATAGTATTAATTTTTTCTGTGAGAGTGCTTATTCAGCACTTAATTAGCTTAGAAAAAAAATATCACTGAGCCCTCCAAACTTCCACTAGACCCCAGTGAGCCATTCTGGAACTTCGTCTAAAGAAGGATGTGGACAACTTGGACAATTCAGTGGACTTCCACAAGGATGCTTATGCTTGGAAAATCAGACCTCTGAGAAAAAGAAATGATGTGATTTGGCTTGAAGAACCAGTGTCTAAAAGGCAGTTTAACATGTAATGATCTCCAAGGAAGTATGCACATGACGAGTACAGCTGCTTTCTTTCTCCACTGTGGATATTAATGTGAAATACTAGTCCTCCGTCAGAAAAGTGGGAATTCTGTAAACAATTTCATGAAACAGGAAATGAATGTGTGTACTTGGCAGTTAAAGTCAGTTGTGTGTCAGGATGCACTTAAGTGGTAGACTGATGGACCTATGACTGTTTTTGAAGTATTGTACAATTGTAATGAGACAGAGGGATGAAAATTTGGGAGAGGAAAGGGGGAAATCCCTGAGCCTATGGAACTGCATCATAAAAAAATGCATTTAAACATTTTAAAAAAGTAAATCATGATATCCATATAAGAATTCATTTAAAACATACTTTACGTAAGTCTTGATTTTAAACCAGAGAGTCAAAAGGGGTATCTTTTAGAGATTTAAACTTCAAATGTGAAAATAAAATGCCAAAAAGTTGATCCATCTACTCCAAACAATACTGGGATGATCAAATACCTCATTTCATCTAGGCAGAGTATGTATATAGTACATAGTCTCACAACACCACTTCTTAATAAATCATGGACAACTACCTCATTTTCTGAGGTTGTAGATCAGTGTAAGTATCACAGTACTGATCATTTCTGTAGATTTCTTATTAAACGTTCAAGGTTAATTTTTCTTTACACATGAAATTTCTCTCTACCATCCATTTTATTCTAAACATCTGTCTCGGAAATCTCTTGTTCATTTATTCAGGGAAGGTTGTTTAGCAGCTACTTGACATCAGGATCCACCTACAAACTCACAAGAGCTTTAATTGGTAACAGTCATGTTCATGGTGAACATGGGTTCACAGAATGGCACACTTTACCTTCTTATAATCTTCCATGCAAGGACCTGGGATCAAAAGGAAAACTGTTGGAGAAAGTCGTGTGAATGAACTGGGTAGAAATCACATGTTCATGGAAATCACCATGAAAATCTCCAAGTGGATGAAGAACGCGGGCGCCGTCCTTCCGTGTGGCTGCTGCTGTTGGAAGTGCCTCCAGTAACCTGAGGCACACCAGTCCAGCTAGGGTAGAACACCCCCGTGAGCAGTGAAAGAAAAACCAAGTAGTCTCAGTGAGAATAACTGGTCTCTCATGCACCTTAAGAAATAGTAACAGTTATGAAAAAAAAAAACGAACCTTGCTATGCATAGTGTTTTGGCGCCTATTATTTTTCTGTCATGTAATATAGGAACCTGTCAATGGTAATACAGGAACATGTCAATATAATATGTATACTTTTACTAAATTACTTTTAATAAGTGTTTGAGTTCCTGCCACCCACATGAGAGACCTGCAAGAAACTCCTGACTGTGTGATGGAGGTGAGGGGAACCAGTACATGGAAAACCTCTCTCTCATTCTCTCTTTTCCTTTCTTTGTCTCTATACTTTTCCATTCAGTCTTTCAAGTAAATAAAATCTAATAATATTTTTAAAAGATTGACACTATAATAAAATGAAAAAGTAAGTCATCAAAATGAATTGGGGGCCCAGTGTAATAGATGGCTAAATCTTCACCTTGTAAGTGCCAGGACTGCAGATGGGCACCAGTTTGTGTGCCAGCTGTTTCACTTCCCATCAACTACCTGCTTATTGTCTGGGAAAGCAGCAAAGGATGACACAAGGCTTTGGGACCCTGCACGCATGTGGGACACCTGGAAGAAATCCCTGGTTTTTGGCTCCAGATTGACTCAGCTCTGGCCATTGTGGATATTTAGGAAGTGAACCCATTGATGGAAGATCTTTTTCTCTGTCTCTCCTTCTCTCTGTAAATCTGATCTTCCTTTCCAGCAAAAATAAAAATAAATCTGAAAAAATGATTGGAAATCTAATTCCTGGTGTTATGCCATTTTTAGCCTGCCAGTGTTTCCATTGGATAGTAATGGATATATACTTATCTTTACTGAACATTATTACATCTAAATTATGTTGCTACTTTCTCCATTTAAGAGCTGAAGGTATTTTGCCTAGGATGACTAGAAAGTTATTCTGCATTTGAGTATGTTGGTAGGCATTGGAGCTGTGAGTTGACTATGGAGAACCCAACTGCAGGATTCTCACATTTTTCATTTCACTAATTTTTTCCAACAATAATGTCTTTAGTTTGATGAGAATAAGATTCTTTCTTTGAAAGTGACAGTTTTATGTAATATAGGATAGTGGTTAAGCATGACAGAAATTCTAGGAAACCTTGAGACAAAGAAGTGAAATAAGGGAAGTCATGTGCTTTTATACAATCGTCTGCCTGAACTGGACTTCTTTTTAAATTCTTTTTTGCGTTGTTGCTTTTACAGTTTTATTTATTTTATCTTGCTTTTGCTGTTGCTGTACAGATATATTGCTGAAGCAAAAGGTGGGAATGTAGGGGAAGATAAGGGAAATTAGAGAACAATGCAAGAGAGCAGAAATGTAGGCCAGAGAAGCGAGAAGAGAAAGGATAGATAAAGCCTAAAATTGTATATTACATTTTTTCGGAAAGCTAATATAGCTGTTGAAGTCAGGGTAATACAGGGTATGCTGTCACAGGAAATAGCCTGCATTTAGTAGTGGTTTTCAGAAAGGAAAAGTGCACTGAAAGCGTGAGAAATGTTTCGGGACATTCCTCCCCCTGTGATGTCCCAGGATTGCAGGGCACTTTGAGCATATGCCACCTCCAAGTCCACACGGGGCTCTTGAATCATGGCAACAGGAAAAGAAGACGAGAGTTTAGCACTGGCCTTCTCACGTGTCACGCTTACATTTTACTGGCTAAGACAAGCCATACCTTTCTTCTCATGTGAGGGAAATTATCGTCTTCACATATATGTGGAATAATATGGGTACTGCTGAATTGCAGCTGTGTCTCTTATAATAGCTTAAAAATAAATCTATTGTCACAAAGTAAAAACCTAACATGTCTACCAGGATTAAGATTATCTTTTATTTGCCAGGATAGATTATTGAGTGTAAAGATGGCTTAGGTTCAAGGATAAAGAAGAATATCTCATATCCATTTTCCATTACTGTGATCTGCTCATTCACTGCACTTAGGCTCCTAAGAGACTTGGGAATACAATGACAAAAGAGGGGGCATTATGCACATACATTTCTGTAAGTTTCTTTATTATGGAAATGAAGTGGGAATCCATATATTTCATTCCTTTTGATATTTTCAAGACTTTTTAGTAATGTCAGCTTAGGATATTACATTTCAAATGATAATACAGTCAAATCGTTGAAATGCTTGAACAACAAAGAACAAAATTAATTATGCTGGAAGATTAAATATAAACTCAGTCTTTGTTTCTTGATTTTTTTAACATCTTCTGATTTCACCTGGACCTTATCTTACATTATAAAAATGTAATAGAACAATCATTCCTAATTCCCAATTCAGTCTATAACTGCCTAATTTGCTAATAACAAGTCTTATTCTGTGTTCAGAAAAAGCATGTCTCTTGTCTTGTACAATACGTCATGCCATTGAGAATACTTGCACAGTAAATGATTCTGTATAATAGTATTAACGTGCCTAAGTACCCATGAACAGGTGCTACAATTGGAAACATGCGAAGTATTCTTTTTGGGGGAGGAAATGAGAGGTTACCAATAGAAAAGGCTTCAGCTAGAATGGAGATTAATTTTCACAGCGTATTTTTGCTTGTTTGAACCTTAAACCTCATATTAAAGTAGTGAAATAAACAGGTACTTCAGCAATCTCCAGATTTTAACTATTTTTAAGACAGTACATTTTATTTTGATTTAAAAATAGCTTAAAATAGTACATTTCTTCATGTCTTGGTTCCTTGTACTGTCAGATTACAGTGCCTGGCTGTGTCTTTAATGTTTTTGGAAGAATCTAAGCCAATCTAGCTAATAGACTCTATTTCCTGTATTGATTGGCGATCAATTCCTTCTTATTTAGCAAATGAATGGTTATGCCCAGTGTTGTACAGTGTTCTGTGCTGTGATTCACAAAGTGGCCTTGTTGATAAACCTGATGTAAACATCTGTCTGAGTTGTTTCCATGTGAACTATGACACTTGTGCGGGTATGGATATTGGGGAGAAATGGGTCAGAGGGAGAAGTTTCAGAAGGAGTGGCTGAAGAGAATAGCAATCTCAAAGTCATGTAACATTCAAGAAGACATCAAATTAACTTAGCTACGTAAAAGGTAAAATAGCTACAGGTTTTAGAATATGGCATCTTTTAAGAAAACAAATATGTACATTTAGCATAGGTACTGCTAAATTGTTTTTGACGTACATAGAGTACCAAAACTGAACTTGAACTCTTCAGGGTGTTTATATGACAGTGACCTCAGCCACTTTGACAGCGCTGAAATGGCTGCATATTTCCCTAGAAGAATGTCCCGTTGTAATTCACAAAGTCCAAGCCAGGAAACCACATGCATGCATTCCAGATCAAATAGCACCCACTTACTTTTCTTCCTTTATTTCCCCCCTTTTTTTCTTTTTTACTTTTCAGGGACCTGATAACTGTACAAAATGCTCTCATTTTAAGGATGGCCCGAACTGTGTGGAAAAATGTCCAGATGGCTTACAAGGGACAAACAGTTTCATTTTCAAGTATGCTGATCAGGATCGGGAGTGCCACCCCTGCCACCCCAACTGCACCCAAGGGTAAGCATCCTTGTGAGCCAAGGCCTGAAGCTGGCCTGTCCCCTCCACAAACTACATTTAGGACTAGTTTCTTGAAGAAAAAATTGTATCATCTGAAATATTTCTTCTTGACATTCCCTATAACAGTTTTATTGACACCTCCATGAAACTGGTGTGAAAAAAATGCTTTCGGTACATTGAAAAAATTCTTGTAAATATGACAGCAAATATGGAAATTGTGAAAATATTTCACAGAGGTGTGCTTTTATTTTTTTGTTGTCACACTTAGCTTAAAGAGAAGACATCGCTTTTTGATAAGCTACATTGATCACTTCTGCAACAAAATACAAGCAAAAGCAGTAATGGCAGAGCTAAAGGAAAATTTCATGATGGATAGATTAAAAGATAACAGATTACCTGATTTGAACTTCTTCTACAACCTAGGATTTATTTCATTGTTTGAAAAAAGCGTCGGTGTACATTTTTCTGTTTTCTGGGAATGTATCATACAGTGAAGATTGTTTTTGGTAGTAATAGCAATTTAATAAGAAACACACACTATAGAAATTGACAGACATTGTTTGAAGTGAATTAAACAGCCCCTTAAGACACCTGCATCCCACATCAAATTGCTGGTTCAAATCCAGAACATTCCATACTCTCCTACAGCTTCCTACAGATGTGCCTGGAAGGCATCAGGTAATACAGTTGCCAAAGCTCCTCCCACCCATGTGGAAAACCTAGATGAAATTTCTGGCTCCTTTCTTAAGAAACCTGATATGGCTTCTGCAGACATTGGAAGAGTGAATCAGCCGAGGGAGGATTTTCTCTCTCTCCCTTCCTCCTCTCTCTTAACTCCAACTCTGCCTTTCAAAGAAATAATCTATTTGAAAGAAAGGAGAAAAGCACTAAGCTGTGGAAGACACATGCCATTTGAACACATGCCATTCCCTATTTCTTGAAAAGACAGCCAACCACTTTTTGTAAGCATTTTTGTTTCTTCCACGAAGTGAATAATTTTAGAATTAGGAGCAATTTCTGTGCTTTATGTTTCTCCTGTCCACAAAACACTTTCTCCATTTTGAGTGTCCACAGGCATATGCACATACAAGCAGAAACATCCACTTTTGTAGAGAATATTCATGCATACTTTATCTGGCAGAAGCATGAGATTCCGTGAAGAGATTTTCTGCCAGATTAAGAGTCAGTTGTTAAGGGACATTGAAGACATAAAGAAAGCAGCAGCATTTTTCACCAAGAAAACATCAATTTTTAGATGCTGCTAAGATTTCCAGCAGGCCAAGGAACCAGCTTATCACCCTGTGAAGTGCCAAGTTCTCAGAAGATAGAGTAGTATCTGCCGTTCAAATTCAGATTCAACATGGAAGAGGTCACTGTGTCTCTTTGGTTCACAGAGAAGTGCCTAGGTGGAGAAAGCTGAAATACTCACATAATAAGCACTTTGCTTCGAGGAAACTGGAAGTAATAAGCTGCTCCCCGCGTGCGTTTTAGGCACACTTGAGAATATTTCACAAAAAAAAACAACTGGTACAGTTGGAGCAGAAGAGTCAGCAGCAGAAAAGAGAAAACTTTGCATGCTAAAATCATCCACAAGAGGGTTTTATTGTTTTGCAGCTAAAATTAAACCAGTAAATTATTCAATATAATGTTGATGTCAACAGCTGTTGCCATTCAAAATGAGACCTTTTGCTGTTTTTGCAAATCTAATTACAATGAAGCCATTAGGGAAATGAAAGCGAGATGACAGAGCCATACTCAAGATGTGTGGCTGGTGTCTTCCTCTCAGCCCCTTTAAATCATGATTATATAAGAAAAGAAAACATATACAGCAGGCAGAAGGAGACGAAGGGGACAGTGAAAAGAGAGCAATTTGCTGTGGCAGCAAAATTCGGATCTGCACCAAAAGGGAAGATGAAGGACTTACAGGAAACAAATTTCACCAAGTCATTTAGAACCTACAATATTTCTTAATTAAAATTAAAATAGCAAGATGTCATTAATAACTAAAGACTACAGTGTGATGAGATAGAATTTGAATAGAATTTAGAATTTGACATCCTAAAAAGATATCGTCTACTGAGTTTGAGGGATTTTTATTTTCACTTGACTTCCTGCCATCTTTCTCCCACCAGCTCCCTTATTCTCCCTCCTCAGTCATTTCATGAACATGCTGTAGTTTCAGCCCCAAAAGAGTAAAGGGATTTCTTCTGAGGAAGCTGTGAGCTCCCTAATGCCCACATGGATTTCCTTGGCACACGGTCTTTGTGCTTTGAAATCCTGCACTGAAGCAACAGTGTGTCCGTGCAGTGTGTCCCTGTTTTTCAGATAGGGGATGCGTAAGTGTGTTCTTTTCCTTAGAAGGATCACTGGGCAGTGGGAATAATGAAATGAGTGGCTATTTTTATTTCTGAACATATGTAATAACTGACCTCTCAGGAAGTGTGAACTCACCACGCTAACTTCACTTTGGAAAATAGCTTTCTTTTTACATATGCCAATATTATGTCAGATAATTCAAGAATTAAGTTAATGGAAATAGTCTCTCAAATTACATTTCCAGAGGTAAAATTCTTACTTTGAATACCATTTAATGATTTTTTTTGAAAATAGAATTATCTTTGTAATACCGTAAAAGCATTTTATGACTCCAAATGTACATTAAATATATTGGTCCTAATATGTTATTTAGCTACTTTTAAAATAGGCTTTCCATTTAGCCTCCATCAAGACATTCTCACTAATATCACTAGAGGAGGAAAAATGGAAATGTTTCATTTTTCTTGACCAGAAAGCTTATTTTAGCAGGCTTCCCTCATCTTGTTCATTCTCAGCATTGCTGTGTTGGATGTGTGCTTTGTGTCTGAGGCAGTGACAGGCAAGTTCAGAATTGAGTAAGGCACCGTTGTTGACCTTCATGAACTCACAGTCGAGTGAATTTATGTGCTTCAATTTACACCTCTATTAGAGATCAGACCCTTCTGTGCTGTGCTTTACAGCAATGGACAAGAACGTAAACGTGAGGAAGGGTGTTCCTGTTTGGAATTAGTAACAGCATTTTAAAATAGGAGCTATAAACTAAATTGATTAGCAAACAAAATGACAGCCACAGCATCACTTGGGTTCATGTTCATTTATTTTTAAATTTTTATTTATTTTTAAAGATTTGATCATTTTGAGAAATCAGAGTTATGGGGAAGTGAAGAAGACAGCCTGATCTCCCATTCTTTGATTCCCCAGATAGTCTCAACAGCTGTGGTGGGTCAGGGTGAAAGGCAGAAGCTAGTAACCAGAAACTTCATCAAGGTTTACCATGTGAGTGACAAAGGTCCAAACACTTGGGCCATTTGCTGCTGCTTCTCCCAGGCTAATAACAGGGAGCTGAGCCAGGAGTAAAATTGCTGGGACACGAACTGGTGCCCGTACGGGAAGCCGATGCCTGGTTGGTGACGTTACCACTATGCCTCAAGTCCAACCTCTTTATTTTTAGAGAAATGGAATGGAGTGTTTAGGAGAATACACAACTATTAAAAAATGTATTTCTTTGGGAGCAGAAAGAGATAGAGCGAGTGCTTCCTTCTGCTGTAACATTCCCCAGTGCCTGCAAGTCCCAATGCAGGGCCAGAGCCAAAGCTGGGAACCAAGAACTCAATTCATTTCTCCTTGTTGGGAGACAAGGTCCTACCCACTGAACCCATCACCACTGTACCCCACCCCTGCCCAGTGTGTGCTTCAGTACCGAGCTGGATTTAGGAGACAGACCCAAGTCCCAAATCCAGGCACAGTGACATAGAAAATGGATCCAGGACTCTGAGCCAAACATGCCTAAAAAGAAAAGGGACCTCCCAACAGGTGTTTTAACTGCTAAAATAATTGCCTGACCCTATTTGAATTTGATGTCAATTTAGGTTTCATTTTTTCCGCTTTGTGCAATTCTGATCATTTAAAGGTTTGTTATTTCTCATATTCGATAGTCTTGCTGAATCTATGTAAAGTACATATGCTAATTTTTAAGGCAAAGGGTAAGAATATAACGTATACTTTGTTAAATGCACAATTTCCTGCATTTAGAAGGGTTGATGCCATTTCATTCATACCCTCATTCTTGCGATTTTTCTTTCATCCTGATTTGAAAAATAGGGAAAAGTCTCTAATGCTCTCCACCATCTGCTCAGCAAGTTTTTTGTGGCCTTAGCCCTTGCTATTTGGTTCATCTTGGATTCTGTCATTGATAACTCCACGATTCTCAGAGCTGGAAATATGTCATTCTTAACCCTTTGAGCTTTTTCATTTCCATCATTAAACCACAATCAGATTTTCTGTTTACATACTTCTCAATAGTCTGTGGCACCTGCCCATTCTGCCTCTCAGTTACCGTTTCACTGATTTTGCTCCATCGTCTCCTACACAGAGGATACAGCAATTCCAATGCTAGAGAAGTCCACCTGGCTTCCAGCTGCCTAGCATCCACAGAGCAAAGCGATCTGCTTAAAATGCCAATCTCTCAAGTTCACTACTCCCTTAGCCACCTGCAGTAGTGTTCCATTTAGTTCATAATTAAGTAGCCATCAAAATCTGACTCCTGTCTGACACTCAAGCTCATTCTTTTTTCCACTGTGTGCTGCCCTGTATCTGGCTCTCTAACTCTTCAAAGTTGTTTACAACTGATCATGTATATAGCAATGCATTTTTTAACCCTTTCTCAATTCCTATCACCCTAATCCTAGCTCTCACATCCCCAACATGCAATTTTCTGCTCCAAGAGTGTTTCCATGACCTTCTGGGCTTCAACAAGATGTCCCTCCTTCACTCTTCTTTAAGCCACTTGTTCATGTCTCTTATTACATTTTTTCACACTACGTAATACACATCTGTTCCTACAGCTGGTTACTTTATTAAATTGTGAGCTCATTGAGAATAAGCAGTGTCTAATTCTAAATTTTTTCTCCTTTGATAGCTCCTAAAACAATAGGATCACTTGTAGTTATGTTCATATAGGTTTCCTTGAATGAATGAAGAACTTTCATTACTAACAAGTTGTCGGAAGTTCAATTTCACTTTCAAATATTTTTGTCTTTCAAGAGCTATTATGAAGATTGCAAACTAACCGTACAGCTTTTCACTTAGAAATAAATTGTAGACTGTTAATTTTACAAAATGGCAATACTTCAGCAAAACACATTTTCAAAGAAAATGTAAATGGAACTCAGAAAGGCTAAATGCTTCGGAATAGAATAAAAAGAAAACCAACTAAGACCATTTGAAAGCTTTTGTAGGAGTCAGTTTTCCATTTTAAAGTTGAATCTCTTAAAATGGTGTGTTACACTGATTTAATGCTATATTGGTATATCATCTATTTCCTATTTGATCAGTTACATTAACAGGCACCCTTTTTTCATTCAATAATTGTTTGCATCCTTTGTCTATATTTCCAGTAAACTAAGATCTGTCCAGTGTTTACTTGCTTAACTTCTTATTTAATGGACCATTAAACCTTTTTACTCTATGCAAATTTAGAAGATTTTTCTCAGATACTGAAGAAAAAAAAGTAAAGGAAAAGAAAGTGGGAGATGCAATGGGAAGGAGATAAGGAAGAAGAAATTTTTGTGACAATCTTAGAACTGTATCAATAAGCTGTGTTGAATCAGGTAAAAATTAAAAATTACAGGGCCAAACACGGTAGCCTAGCAGCTAAAGTCTTCACCTTGCACATACCGAGATCCTGTATGGATGCCGGTTCATGTCCCTGCGGACCCACTTCCCATCCACCTCCCTGCTTGTGGCCTGGGAAAGCGGTGGAGGATGGCTCAAAGCCTTGGAAACTTGCACCTGTGTGGGAGACCTGGAAGAAGCTTCTGACTCCTGGCAATGGCTCTGGCCATTGTGTCCACTTAGGCAATGAACCAGCTAATGGAAGATCTTCCTCTCTGTATATCTGACTGTTCCGTTTAATGAAAGAATTGATTAATTAATTAAAATTACATTAAAATATTAAAAAGAAAAACAAATGCCTAAAATATGCTGGATTGTCTAGTATTCTTATCAGTGATAACTTTTTTTTTTGCAAATTTGTTTATTTTTCTTGGAATGGCATATTTGCAGAAAGAATAGAGAGAGAGCTCTTCTGTCCACTGGTTCTCTCCTCAAATGGCCATAAGAGCTAGAGCTGATCAAAGCCAGGAGCCAAGAGCTTCTCCTGTGTCTCCCATGTGGGCATGGGGTTCCAAGGCTTTGTGCCGTCCTCTACTGCTTTCTCAGGCCACAGGCAATGAGCTAGATGACAAGTGGAGCACCTGGATCACGAACTAACACTCAAATGGAATGCAGAGCTTGCAGATGGAGGATTAGCCAATAGATCTATTGTGCTGGGCCCATTATATAATCATATTGACTTCAGCTTCATTTTCGTTTTCAATTTTGAAAGTTAAGCATATAGAAAAATATAAGCCTTTTATTACTAATCACATGAGGCAGTTCTATAAACCATAGCTGTAGAAGAAATCTTTATATTTCTGTAGCATTATAAATATCTAACAGGTCATGGAGTTAGTTCTGGAGGTTCTCATTTAGTTATATAAAATTTACTTATTATTGTTTGAGGCTATTTTTATTGCAGCTTAAAATCTATTTTGATTGTTATTACTCTGATGTTTTAAGAGAGTATCAAAATAAACTACCGGATGGCTAACTTGTTAATTTGCTTTTTGAATAAATTTATTTTTTTCTGATACATATGTATGTATGTAACAAGGACCAGAACAATTTGATTATGTTAAGCATCTGTGAGAAGAGCAGTAGAGCCTGTTAACTCATTTTCTGCCATATCCAATCTTTAATAGATGTTAAACATTAGATGAGCATACTATGTTGAATTACTCATGCTGCTTTTTTGCAATACTAAATTTTACTTAAAGTCTTACTAGGAACTATATACATGAAAATTATAACCGCTGAGATATAAAGTTATTCCTCAAGACATATAATTATAAGTGGTGGGAAAAAATTAGAAATTCTAGAAGTTATTTGTGTGAAATTGGAGGTTATGTGCATAACCAGGTTGAAATTTCCTTCTCTGTGGACATTTGTCTTTGCAAATCATTTCTACAGGCAACCAATGAATAATACTTTTGCTGATTTGGAATTCATAGTGTCTCTGACATTGTCTAATAATTTCAGCTTATCCACTACCTTGACAGTTATTGTACATATTCTTTTAGATGTGATGTGTTTTTATTTACTTGTGCTTTTTAAATTTCTTGCTTTGTTTTTTAACATTTGCGTCTTCTGCAGGTGCATAGGCTCAAGTATTGAAGACTGCATCGGCCTCATGGATAGGTACTTGGTGTGCTTGCTTCCCATGTTCTTCCTGCAAAGCTCCATGTGTGAGCACTGGTGCATGGATGCATGTCACTGTGAATGGAGAATGATGTTTTCTGTTCTGTAATTGCCTGCAGGTGTAACGGTCCCACTATTCATGAATGCATTTACTACCCATGGACGGGCCATTCCACTTTACCACAACATGCTAGGTAACATCTACCATGTTTCCATTTTGTCATTCAAATCCTTTCCCAATTACCATTAAGAAGAATCACTAACCAGTTGAATTACATTTATGAGAGAGTATTATAAAAAATGCAAAAATCAAGCTACCTTTCTTATCTTTTCCCTTCACTCCTGATTTCAGAATTCTGATTTGAAATGTCATTGATTTCTTATTTTATCCTGTTTAAAGTACTACTAATTCAGATGTTTAGCAGGAAATTTTCATTCTTAATTCTATTGATTGCTGAAAAATATTTTGAAAGAAGGGATTCACAAGTATTGATCTATGCTTATGTTTATCATTTGATTTGATTTCAATTTCAGATTCTGCGTTATTTTGAATTGAGTGATATATCTCTAGATATAAAAATTACCATCAATGAAGGCAATATATAAGTAGAAGTGTAACTTGGAATCAAAAAATAAATTGTATTACTCATGTTCACAAAGAAATCCATCCATAAATGTTTATAGTGACTTTATTCATAACAACCTCAAAAGGAAACTTCTTAAAGGCTCTGTAGTTGTACTATACCCACGTGTTGTTCAAGCCGAGCAACAAAAAGAAATAGATTGTTGACCCAAGCAACATGGATGAATCTGATGTGTGTTACGTTGAATGAAAGAAGCCAGACGGCAAAGACTACATCCTATATGATTCTACTTACATAATTCTGTTATTGTGGTTTTCTAGAAAAAGCAAAACTCGAGCTAGAGAGAATGGATCAGTTTTTCCAGGGTTGAGGTGGTCAGGGAATGAGGCTAACTGCAGAACAGGAGCAAGTTCGGAGGGTATGAGGAAGCTATTCTTTATTTTGATTGTGATGGTGGTTGTTCCAATGTATGTGTTGGTCAACAATTATATTTTTTCATTTTATTGTGCATAGAATATATGAATTGAGAATTATAATACATATAAATTATGGCTCCATAAACATGATTTTAACATGTCTCATAGACGTAACCTTTCCTAAACAGGAAGTTATTGCCTTTACAGTCTGAAGTAAAAGTACAAATACCTTTATCATGAAAAACTGAAATACATATTTTTGGAAAAAGAAATTGATAAGCTACAATTAGCAAAATGCAAATTTGGATCAAAATATTGCCCTTAATGCATTTTTTCATTGGATTACCATGTAAGCACTCTAAAAAATGTAAAATTCAAGTGTAATGCTCAGCAGATTTGTAAAATGAACATTTTTGTAAACATCAGCCAGATGAAGGAGCAGAATGACATAGTAAAAGAAAAAAAAATCCTGAAGTCCCCTTGCACTCTATCGCCAGTGTAGCTACTATTTTTTTTTCATCACATCTAAATTCACTCATAAAGGATGTTCTCTATGATTCTGGCTTCTTTTAAAAATATTTTATAAGAAGCATCTATGTCACTGACGTGAATCATATTTTATTCATTCATATGGTGCTGTCTATAAGTCTTTTTTAAATGATCAGAGAAATAATATGTTACTTTAGTAAACTTTACCAAATACAGAGCAACTAAACTCTAGAAAGAAACCAAGTACCTGAGTGAAATGATTTTTGAAACAGTGACACTTTGACATTTGGGCATTTGTTTAGTGTCATATAGAACAAGATTAAAAAGTTGAGAATAAATTTTAAAAAAGGATAAAAGAAAGGAGGGAAGCAGTAAGAGGGAATAATTCAGAGGCAAAATCTTTGAGTCTGAAGTATACTTTTGGAAACTAAGGTTCAATTTACTTTTCTCCTATATTCATGAAATAAGTTTTCCTCCTTAAACTGCCCATCGAGTCTACACTTTTACCTTGACAAAATTTTCACATCTGTTTTGACGATTTTCTTATAATGATTCCAGTGGACTCATAAGAGTTAATATTTGTTTATTTTCCTTGGTTATTTGTAAAAATATTTATTTATATAAAGGCAACCAATTTCATATATTTCACATTTACAGTTTTAGGAGCGTAATGACACTTCCCATCCTGACCCCTTCCTTCACTCCCATGCAACTACTTATTTTAACTCTCCTTTACAATCACAAGCTTAACACTTCACTAAATGAAGATTTCAACAAGTACTAACAGAATGGAAACTTTTTTGTGTCCTCAGTTTGAGGTGAAAACTAATTGAGATCACAAGAGCCCTCGTGGATGCTCTTTGTGGTATTTACTACTCTTGTTGAAATATTGAAATACTTTACAGTCTCATGAAGATGTGCTCTGTTAATGTTTTACATTCCAAAGGAACATTGTTCAAATAGTGTTAGTAACAATAGGAGTAAGAGATCAACATTTCTCAGGTTTGAAGCGTTTAAAATTTGAATCAAATGGCTACGTGAAATAATTTTAAAGAATAGGTGACAGATATCTAATTGTTCCTTCTTGGAAATCAGATATACCTTTATAATACCTGTTTTACAATTAAGTTTAAAGCAGTCTGGCTCTGTTCTTCTATTGTATTCACTTACTGGAGCTAACTGACTTGTCTCGATCTGGTTGTAAGATGCTAGAATGTACATGAAGGATTTACCTTGGCCATTTCAGAATAGTGTTTACTATGACACCGATTAAGTCAAAAGTAAAAATGTAACAAATATGTCCTTTTTCAGGTATGCAATATTGCAATAAAAGCTGATCTCTCTGAAATACATACATAAACATTTTCTTGAAAGCAAAAGTCCATCTAAAAATATTTCAAGTCATTTTACTGTTTAAAAATTTGTGTAAGGCTTTTCATCATTTTTCTTCATTAATTGAAAAGAATCCTAGCTAAGAAAGGGGAAAGCATGATTGAAAAATTGTCTTAAATCCTATAAACCATATGTTAAATGGGAGATTATTGAAATGTCTCATTTTCTTTCACTCAGAGGAAATTACTTTGAGCATGTCAGTGTGGCCATATCAAAATATTTAGAGTTCCTACTCCCGACTGGCCCATTATACCGTATCCTGTTTCCTAAACCAGTAGGAAGAGATTGAAAATTTAAATGAAAACAGGTGAAATGTTTCCAATCTTCACCGACTTTCATTTTCTAAAGGAGTGTTATTCATTCCCAGGCCTGTAATTTGTGAATTGGTTTTCCACACTTCATTTGCCTTGCAGGCTGCTGCTGGAATTTCTTCCAGAAAGATTGGATAGGGTAGGACTTTTTTAAAAAACTTTTATTCTCCTAGAATATTCCACTTGTAATAGAAGATCTGATATTTCAAAACTTTCCCTGCTTTTCTTATCTGAATTAAATGTCTCCAAAACAGCAGTCCTCCTTTCATTCAAAATCTTTTACCCTCAAAATACTTGTCTCTTCAAATTCCCTGAAGAAATATATTTGGCAACTTTCAAATTCTTTTTTATGATACTCATTTTAGCTTGTACATATTATTTTCAAAATATTCTGATAGAACAAAATGTTAAATTCTTTTTTCTGTTTTAGATCTTTTGTCAGACGTGTATACAAATCTTCTTATGGTCTCTGTCTCTTTTTCTAGTGAGTTTAAAACTTGCTAATTTTGATGGGCAAATATCTATTGCCAGATCATTTCTTTATGTTAATTAACAAACAGAAAGTAAACCGCCTAACAATTTTTTTTTTTAATTTGCGAGGGACACTTTCATAATCTTAAGAAATATGTACATTTTGTATATAACAACTTGTTCCAATCCAGTTATTCTACATGCTTCATAATATGAAATATAGTTGATCTCACTTTAATTCACTAAATCTCATATGAGCAGGTGTTTAAAACATTTCATACTCTCATCACAGTATAATGCCGATGCGTCACTTTCATTTAATGGTGTGGTGGTGATTACTGAAGGGGTCACACAGGAGTTTATCCTTTAGCAGTGTGACCCATGTGTGATAGATGAGAAAGGGGATACGATCTCGGCATTACTCTCACATTGGCACCATTTTTTTCAATGTCTGTTTCGCCCCTGAGGAGCTTAGTTCATAACTTATGTCTAGCTCGGATGCATAGAACTGCCCATCGATGGTTACCTTATGTGAGTGGCAGCTGCGTTATGATCTGTCAGCACAATAAATAAAAGTACACAGCCCTTTTATTATAAGTCCATCCGCAATCCACTGCATCCTGTATATTGGATTTGCTTTTGAAGAGTGTTCAAAGAGATGAAAAAGAATGTGTGAATTTCTTCTTTTCCCTCCAGATTTCTATCCCACACTTCCTTGCACCCACAAAACACTGAAGTTCTCAAGAGCTGATGAGGGCAGTGCAAAGAATCCTTACCTGGTGGTTGTTATCATTGATCCTACAGTTCAGGTGGTGCTTTTAAAGAAAAACACGTAGTATTACAAGGTTACATTCACATTGATGTCCACATACTGGCTCATTATTAGCAAACTTTTGAATCCTGGAAGTATTATTATTATTATTTTTTAATCCATATTTATGGCTGAAATAAAAAGAAGCATTTTTAAATTATTCATTTACTTTGATCTGTTTGAAAGGCAAAAGAGGTAGGACACAGAGATTCACTGCCCAATGCCAGAAGCAACCATTTGGACCAGGCTGAAGCCAAGAATTCAGAATTCTGTGTTTGTGACAGGGCCCCAAGTGCTTGAATATTCTCTTTTGCCTCCCAGAATTCATCAACAGGAAGCTAGGTTAGAAATGGAGGTGTCACCATTTTTAAAGAGCGTTTAGTTTAGGATTGTAACAAAGTCTAGAGTCAACACTTTTAAGCTGGAAAGATGTTGATTATCTGAAAATACTTAAAAAGTGAAATTAAAGAAAATTTTATTTTGGTATAAAGTAAAATTTGAAACCTATGCATACTTTTCTGTGTTACATACATTTTCCATGAATATCTTTTATAGATTTATTTATTTTTATTTGAAAGGAAGATCTATAGAGGAAAGAGACAGAGAGAAAGAGAGAGAGAGTACTTCCATCCACTGATTCACTCGCCGTATGACCCTAGTGGCCAGAGTTGGGCCAATGGGAAACCAGGAGCCAGGGTGCAGGAACCCAAGGTCTTTGGC